GTTAATTCAAAAAATCCTCAACAACCAAACATCTATAAGTTAATAGAGTCCTTCAATTAATAAACATAAGAAACTAAGTTGATTCGATTAGTTCCAAACAGCAAAGTGTTTTTAAAAAAAAATTAGATAAAATAATTGATAAAGGTAAAGGATTACCGGATCATCAAATCCCAAGAATTGAAAATTTAATTAATTCTATGACATATTCTAAAGATAAAAGTAAAAATGAAATATTGTCGTCATACTTACAAAATAAAGCAATTGAATTTGTAAATAGTGGGCTTTTTAAGCACTATTCGTCCGCTAATTCTGTACAAGATAAAATAAAGCAATTAGAAACTGAAAACAATAAATTAGCAAAATTAGTAGAAAAATCCAACAATGAGCTTAGATCTTTCTATATGAAGGTTGTGTAAGCAGAGAAAACAAAACAAAAATATATTTTTAAAATTCGTTCTATCTCTTATAAAAAAATTACAAAAAGTCAGTTTAAAATAGTAATAAAAAAAAATAAAGCAAAATAATAATGAATACTCGTCTGAGTTTGTTAAGTTTGCCACTAATATAAGCAACATTGGGACGATTTCTCATTCGGCAGCATCAGAATGTACAAAGGCTATATTAAGTTTTCTTATAGGTTAAATACCAAATTATTGGCTATCAAAAAGAACTCTCTCTCAGTGGAATAAAGAAGTTTCTAAAATATCGCTTTATCAAAATTGGCCAGGAATCTCACATTTACCTTCTTACTCATATGCCATAATGGCTGATGAGAGTACAAGAGGAGATAAAAAAGTATTTTTAGTTTGTTTATTTTATTGGAATAAATGTAAAAATCAAACAATAATTACTCTTGCAAAAATGGTAGATTTAAATAAGTGTAATGGAGTAATGGTAGCCAAAACAGTAAAAGAAACATGTGAGAAAAATAACTTAAATCTGAGACAGTGTGGATTTTAGCTTACAGATAATACAGCATACATGTCAGGAAATAAATCAGATGCCATCGTTGAGTTTAACTTGCAAACAAATGCATCTTCGTTCAGAATTTCATATGGTCTACATGCACTACAAATAGCTTTGGTTAATTTCGAAAATACTGCATTTGGAAAATTGAATACTGTGTCAGGACTATCCTTATAAGAACATTCTCATAATCTTCTTTATCTTGTCTATTATCTACATGACGGTTATAGTGAGAGTAATAAAGAATGCTCATTAAATATGAAATCTAACACAATAAAAAAACTATATTGGATACTTTTACAATATACCTTACCAAAGTATCAAAAATCTATTTCGAGTTGATGGTGATATCAATTAATAACGGCGAGTCAATATCTTAAAAATTACAATGCTCATAATCTTTTGGAACTTGGTTCATGAAACAGCTTAGCAAATTCAAAATTTACCTAAGGGATACATTAAATAGTAGAAAGTATTAATTAACTGGATAAATAATGTAAAACTTAATATTCAAATAAAGTGTATTGTACAATTTGGCAAAATTTTTTATATGAAATTCTTTGAATTTCTAATTGGGTTCAATAATGTATCTCATATATTAGAAAATAATATATTCAAATGCCTTCTTCCTGGATACCGTACACATAAGCTAACTGACCAAGTTTTATTTTGGCTTGGTGAATTGCAAAGTGCTATTATTAATCCTTCTATTATTTTTGAGAAACAAATTATTGAAGCATGTTCAAAATTATGTAATCAAGAACTTACTACTTATTACATAGTTTAAAATTAGGTTTAGAAAAGGCTCAGGAAAGATTTTTAAAATAGATGGACTGTTGTGTTCATTTACCCTTAACAATATGTCTATTAGGTGGAAGTAATGATCCTGACTTTGCATAAAGTATTTACTATGTTTTCTTAGACTGACCATTGAATGTTAAAAGAACAGAAAAGAAATTTCAGTATATTGAACTGCTAAAAAAAAGACAAGTTAGAAGGAAATATTCAATCATTTGGTCTATTTAATGCATTAAGAGATCCATAGTTTTTCGAACAATTCCTTATCTTCTCAACATCCCATCCACAAGAACTCTCTAAATTTCCACTCATATATGACTTTGTTAAATATAGAATTTGGTCAATAATAGTTCATTAACAGCAATTAGAAGGAATATTCAATTGATATGATATCAAAACTCACCCTAATATGGCTGACGAAGTACAAGAGGCAAGACTTCTTCTCTCTAGCCCAAGTAAACTAGAAATAATGTTTGATCGTAAAGATTTAATAGCTGTCTGAAAAGAGCTACGAAGTAATATAGCTAAAAAACCGAAGAAGAGGTTAGTGAGGCGGCTGCTAAAGTTGTTTTAAAAGAATTTATGAAAAAAAAATAAAGTTCTTTGAAAAAAAATAATAAGTACTTCAGAACTTTGAAAAAGAATAAATGCGTTCAAAAGAAAAAAAAAAAGATTTAAAATTTATATGCGTCCTGGAGATCTATCCGAATGTGTTAAATCTCACATTAAAAAATCCTAAGTATTGGATTTTATTATATATGCCGCACTATGTTTGTACATCATATGGAGTCTTACACCCCAATTAGAGATGGGCATGGTAATAAATAAGTAATAAATACATATTTTTTTTACACTTACGTATTTTTACGTATCAGAACTTATTATTGCTTATTATGACTGATTATTACGATTCACAAATACAACTTTGAATGAT